GCAGGTGGTTTAGGGTGCAAGTTTAGCTCTTCCCAAGCTGCCCCTGTTGCACAAGAGCCCTCCCCGCTCCACGAAGTCCCCACGCTGCTGAGCATCAACACACACTGCAGCGACGGCAGCATTAGAGGGAGACTGCCAGCAAGCTCAGCCGCAGGGCATGCTGCTGTGGTGCTCCAGAGAGCATGGTCAAAGCATGTACCTGCACGTTCCTGTTGAGGCTGACCGCGGGGAAGAAGAGGCCCTCCAGGTTCTCGAAGGCGACAGGCCCTTGCTGGTCCTCGTTGATGGAGAACGTCAAGGTCCTCCTGGTCAAATCCAGCAGCACTCCCACCGTGGCGCCTTTCGTTATCCCACCCTCGGTTCTGCGGGGGCGAGAAGAAGATCAGAGCATCTCTGTGGCTTAATGTCCCTTGCGCTCCCGCCTCAGGGTTCAGGCCACGGACTTCAACGGCCGACGATGCCGAACTTCACAGCTCACCCAGGAGCCAGGCCATGACCTGCACCCATCCCAGCCACGCTCGCAAGTCCCCGGGGCGCCTCCTCCTCAAGCCTCCCGCAGAGGTGCTCTCCGCTTGCCATGATGCCCCTGAGGGCAAAGCTACCTGCCAGAGCAGCCACAGCAACACAACCATGAAGGAAAGCAAGTGGACCTGGGGAGCAAAGCTGCAGGGCCCACTTCAAAACCTGCTGACCCATCAAGGGAACGGCCCTCGAGGCTGCAGGAAGGTGACCCCAGGCTCCCCCCAAGCTACCGCAAGCTTCAAAGCCCCCAGTCCCACTGTCCCATGGGGAAAGCGACAGCTGTGGCACAGGGATGAAGGCAAACGCTACTTTCTTGTTGCACGAGTTGCAAGGCTTTGGGTGTTAGTGGGAAGGGGGTGCTACACAGGAGTGGTGCCGTGCATGCTCGGGGGAAGAGTCAGCACGGAAAGAGTCGCAGCAGGCAGGGAAGGAATACTGGAGCAAGGCAGAACCAGGGAGGCAGGGACCGTCCCCCGCTTGGGGTAAGGGCACATCCTCTAATAAAGGCGATCAGGAGCGATGTCACCCTTCCCGTGGGCGCCTGTAGGTGCCACTGGAAAAGCCACGGGCTCTTACTCGGGCTGAGATTGGGCTGTGGTCTCCGCGAGGAAGACCCTGTTCCAGACCACGTACCTGTTGGTGTGCGAATTGTTGTGCATGAACCAGCTCCGGTTATTGTCCACGTACATGGCCCAGGCCTTGTCGTCCTTGCCCAGCATGGCATCCTTCAGGACATCAATGCGTGCCACACCAAAGGCGGGGTCAGGGTGGTTATCGTAACGATCGATTGACAGCTCCCAGTAATGGAGCCCTTTGGAAAAGCCCGTTTTCCCCAGCACAACCCTGTCATCATAGCTGTTGCAGGTGACAGTCAGGTTGTCATTAGAAAAGATGATGTCAGCATGGGCAGAGGCAGGATCGAAAGAAAACCAAGCAACTGGAATATACAAACAACATCAGGTTAGTCTGGCGGGAGCACGGCCGCCAGCGACCGAGCCGCCTGGAGCGGACACTAAACAGCGCATGCTGCATGCAGGGCCGACACGTAGCGCGAAGCACGGCGGGGGGCTCGGGCGCGGGCTGCCGCCCACCGACACGGCAGCAAGAAGCAGGCAGGGAGCTGTACAGCGGAGGGGGCTGCTGGCTCACGGAGGGCACCTTCTTGTGCAGCTGCAGCCCGCCAGCCTGGCTGAGGTTTTACGGCCGGGACTCAGACGAGTTTTGCTCTTGCTGCTCCCCGGTGCCTGTCTGTCTCCATCCCCTTCCACTACCTGTCTGTCTCAGCTCGTGAGCCCGCAGGATCCTCACGATCTCCTAGAATTTGGCCCTAGCAGAAGGAGACGTGCGATCCTGGCCAGGTCTCCAGGCTCTAGCTAACGTAACTTACTCTTAGGACTAAGAGTTACTCATGCAAGCAACAGTTTGCAGGGTCAGGTCCAGCGTGGGAAGGGGACTGAGGATCAGCGGATAAACTGTGTGTGTGTATTTGAGGGCTGGCAGTCCTGGGAACCAAAAGCACATACAAAGGTCTACAATGACAGAGATGCTACGTCACACCGAGAAACCTCCCTGCAGAGCAACCGGCCACACGTAAGACAAGAGCTAGCTCAAGGGAAGGCTGGAAAATGCCTGGAAACCTCCACGACTCGGTACGGCTGCTGGTTTAAATGCACGGGACTCAGAGAGTGCAAATCTGACAGATACAGTGTCACGTCCTCGACAAGACAGAGGCACGGGGTTTCACAAGCCACCAGCCCGGTTCCCCAGGTGGTTTTCTCCAGCGGTCACGGAAACGTGAACTGACACATCCACAAAACACTCTCACGCCTGCAGGATTAAATACGGCTTGAAAAATAAAACACTCCGGTGAGATTTATTCATTGGTTTATTGGATCGTTTCACAAGACAGCTCACATGCACGTGGGTGCCCCAGTTTCGCAACTTGACGGAGGTGATTCCGTACCTGCCACCATTTTTTTAATGTCAACTGTGGTCATTCCCAAGGAAAGGCATGCAGGAGAGAAAACAGCACGTAAAGTTGGGTAAAGAAAGGAAAGAAAGGAAGGAGAAACGATTTCTGCTTGCCTGCTTCTCCAGCGAGCACAGGGGCCTTTCAGCGTTTTGCATAAAGGTGGGGAGAGACGGGGCACTCTGGTCACTCCTATAATATGCCACCCTCACCTTCCTCCAAATTTCTCCAGCACTTCCACAGCAGTCTTTGATCTCCTTCCTTTCTCCTTTCATGTTTTCTTCCCAGGAAACCACACCTGCAGAAACAGTCAACCCCCTTTGCAACACTGATGACTTACATACATGTTTTTCTGCTTTTAGCGCACTTTTTCGGTCCAGAACATGAACTGCCACCAAGTGTTGGATGTCTAAAAACATCTTCAGGAAAACTTAGCTAACAGAGTTCTTAACTGCACTCAGTCTCCCTAATAGCATTCTTTGCCATTCTCTGTGAACCACTGTATGGTCCTGGTGGTCACTTTGCCAGAGGATACCATCTTAAACTCTGACCTCTCTACATGTCTCTACAGGCAGACCATGCTCAAATCATCCTTTCTTTGTGGTATAATACTTCAAGAATATAACTTCAGGATGGAAAAAAATTAAAAATTAAAAAAAAAAAAAAAAGAAAAAAGGATGAGCAACATGGAGTAGGTGCCAGTTAATTGTAATAAATATACTTGCCTAATTGAGAGTAAGGCGTTCCTTGTGTCTCAAAATTGCATCCTATAAAGAGATACTACATTTCACACATCACAGCTAAGAAACAACAACCGCCTGAAAAACACTCACGAGCATTTAACCTTTAACTAAGCATCCAGCCAGCCACGGGAGGCCTGATTCATTAAAAGCCAGAGAACATGGAGGGGGCTCGCAAATACGACCCGTGAGTTTGAGGGCGGACCGTTGGTCGTTTTGGTGAGTCTCGCCTCTGGGAAGTGTGGAGTCTTTCATTGCCAGATCCCATCACAGCCTTCAAGAGCATCAAGTCTGATTGCTACCTGCTCAGGATGCCAAATCATTGGACTTTCCTCCAGAAAAGGGGCAGGAAATTTTAGCCTTGGCAGAGTATCTTAGCCGCTTCTCTAGATTGATCCTCGGTTGAAGCACTTAAAAAAACCCCAAACACTCCTTGGAGGACAGGGACTGAGGAAAGAAAAGCAGCCACTGGTGTGTCCAGTGAATAGGGACCACCAAGCTCTCCCGGGCTGCCTCCCCTGCCGTGTGTGCGGTCTGGGCGGGAGCGGAGCAGGAGAGGGGGGTCCCTGGGGGCAGATGTCTGGCCTCAGACCCCCGCTAGCACCCAAAGGGCACCGGGCTGTAGCTTTGACTGCAGCTGCACGGGCAGGACGTGTTGGGGTGCCCTCCAACCTCCCGTGACTGGGCTGTGCCTGGCTGCTGGCTGCAAACACCTCCTGGGAGCCGCACTGCAGCCGGGGACTGATCCAGGAGCTTGTCCTAATCCGGGAGCTTGTCCTCGCCAGGAGGAGAGGGCAATGTGAAGCCCCATGCTGGCACTGCGCAGGAGGGCATTCGTTGACGGGTGCTGGATTTTAAGGAAAACCCCGTCTTGCTCTGTGACTGGTTTTCACCTCTCCTCTGGCAAGGCAGCAGGCTTTTCACACCGCTGGCGTGCGTGTTGGTGGGAAAGCACCTGGCCGCAGTTGCGCTCCATGGCGAGTGCCAAGCAGCACCTCCTGAGGCTGTTTTAATGAATCGCGCCCCGTGCCCCTGTTCAAAGAGTGGGTTTTCAAGGTCTCTAAGCATCGCTGCGATACAACTTCGCCTGAGTGAGAAACAGCACGGACACATGGGCACATTGCGGACCCCGTTTTGCCCTGCCCCACCACCCCAGACCGCGGCTGCAGAGGTCCGTACTGCCCAGCACAAGTATTGCTCATGGCCACAGCAGTGGACCTGGGTACACTGGACACAAAGTAAGAGACGCCCGTAACAAAACAGAGTTCAAGCCATTAGCGCACAGCAGTACGATGAGAAAAAAAACATAAAAAGGACAAAGAAAAGAAAGTTGCAGGGCCCCCCGTTATTCTGGCAAGGGTCATGCTGCAGCATTCCTCATTCCAGGGTTATGGGATGGAAATCAAACAATCGGGGACCCCCGTTCTTCCTGGGCTTACACCAGAGAAAGCCGTGAATTACTCCATTGGAGCCCATGGAGTGGTGTAAATCCAGAGTGGCGGAAGAACTGGGGCCCAGGATCTTTAGCAACGGAAGATGTGCAAAGACTGGTTAGAAAACAGCTCTGAGAGATGCACTTGTGCCTGTGGCTCCTTCGCTGGCTGCCCGATACCGTCACTCATTCTGCCTGTACTGCCTACGTCCCACCACCGCCCGCGAGGACCGGGCGCAAGGAGGCAAGCAAAGCGCTTGCGGGTGCTGCCAGACGAGCAAGGTATCACGGGAGTGGGTTCCTCTGCTCTGCAGAAAACAAGACTTCGATACGATCACGTCTGGTTTTGCAAAAGCTGAGCCCCGTGCTCAAAGCCGAGCGGACGAGAGCCCACGTCTTCAGGGTGTTAGGAAGCCAGACTGCAAGGGGTCTGTGAGCTGGCCTTAGCTAGACCTTGCTTGCATCTAGACTTGCTTCTTTCTTAAGAGGGGTCTAGATTTAATCGAGCAAACTAATTTCACAGAACAAATCTCACAGCAGAGGCTGCGTTTTCTGGTTGTATAGGGAAAGCAAACCATCGAGATGGCCCCACACGTTTCTCCCAGGGAGGGTCTGTTCTTCTGACTGTCCCTAAACACAAGATCAATACAAACTAGAGATGAGGGATCTGCTCCGCCGGCTGGCTGTGCGAAATGGTTCAGCCATGCCGGCCCTGCCAAGAACAGCACCCACTTAAGGAGTTACTGTGCTGCTCCATCACCACGTGCCTGAAGCTGCCCATTCTGGTACATACAGATGAACACACCACAGGAACTACGCCACTGAAAGTCCCTCTGAGGCAGGAGCAGGCCACTGACAACCAGAAGGAGTTCCCCCTGCCATCCGCATGTCATGGGAAAAACAAACACAACGGAACAAAACAAACAAATACTTTGGAGATGCCCAGAAGCACAGACCAAGAGGAGATGCCAGAGGCACTCAGCTCACCGGCTGAATTCAGGGACTGTAAAGAAGAATGCAAGCTCAGCTGGTGGGCCGAAGATCTTAGCTCAAAGTAGGATCTCCCCGGAAAGCTGGGTTGCAGATTAAGGGTGGAGGAGAAAGGACTCATTCTACGAAGCTGCGATCTTTCCAAAGGCACTGGAAAAGGGAGGGTCTGTTCTTCTGACTGCGTGTCTAAACGTAAGATCAATGCAAACTAGAGATCAGAAATCGGGTCTGCTGGACGGTGTCACTCCATCGCCCGAGACCAGACCTCGGACCAGAGCACAGATGCTTCGGCACGCACGGACCCTGCTTTGCTGCAGCGAGCGTGCGTACGGTGCACGGAGCAGAAATGTCTGCTCGCTGTGCAACCCAGCGAGACCCTTCAGGAAAGCCTTGCCTCTGACAGTATCAGCAATAAAGATATTTTCGTCTTCCAAAATGTTCCCATGTCATCATGACAAATTCAATACGCTTTTCTTTAAAGTGAGTCCTGCACCTCTTCACAGTAATGCACCTAAAAAAATTCACAACTTACCATGCACCCTTCCCATCGTTCTTCGATAAAACTCATACCTTTTTGTGCACAATAATTACTGGCATAAAAGCTAGTCGGTTGGTAACGCTGAAAGGCATTTTGCAGGGCTGTACTAAGCTATGTAACCCTAAGTACCACCAAGCACCCACCTTACTCAAAGGCTGTTCGGGATGTTGTGTTCTTGATATCCCTTTGTACCTGTCAAAACACATCTGAGCCTTACAGTAAGAATTTAACTCGTGATTCACAGCAAAATGTCAGAGTAGAGGGAACCTCTCGGGTCATCGGTTTCCGCTCCCCGCTACCACAAACGGTCACCTCCTGCCATTTCTTCCCTAGCCTTGTCAAGGGATATATGTTAACATGGAAATGTAGGATCCACCATCCTCCACACATTCATATCAGATAAACTCCTGGACACTGTACCCCCAGCCTTCCTGTCTCAGCTGTAAGTATGGATTGAGCTGGAAATCACATTAAAACAGATAAAAGGAAGCGTTTCTTTGCACAGTGGATTGTAACTTCTGCAACTTGCTGCTGCGCGAGGCTGTGGAAGCAAAGACTGTCAGTAGGTTCAGACACAGGTTAAATAAATTATTGGACAACAGGTCAACAAATGGAGCTCAAGGCTAGGGAGGGATGTGCCCTCTAACATCTACCAAGAGTAAGAGGAACTACTACAAAGAGTAGCCGGGCTCGTGGCTCTCCCTAACTAGCACCTTGTGTTCCTATAGCGCCTTGCAGTGTACCTCCCCTTGTGTTGTTCACCCCTTTCCAAAAGCTGCCAGTTAAAAAGCCCTGGTTGCTGCTGAGGGTCACTCCATAGCTGGTAAGGAACTTAAAGTTGGGCCCCAGATGAGGAACTGGTCTTGAAAGAAAAGGAAAGCTTCTGGTGCTTGACTAGGCTGGGGAAGGGCTCTCTTGGGTGGTGCCCGAGCCCCTTTGCCACATCCCCAGCTCAGGCAGGTGACAGAGGCAGTCGGGAGCAGCTGCTCGTGGGATTGGCAGAGTCGGCCAAGTTTGGGAACCGGGGAGAGGGGACAGCAAGGCACAGGGTGTGACAAGCCAGGTGTTCCTCCCTGATCCTCTGCTCCTAGGCTTGCGTCTCACCAGAGATACAAGAAGCCAAACCCAGGCTTGCCTTGAAACTCTGCAAGCCATGCCTAAAACTGGAGACACAGAGCAGCTGAGAGAAGAGGGAGCGGAGACACAGCTCTTCCCCCGCGCTGGCACCCAGTGCACGGGTGCAGGCAGCACAGGTGGCACATGCCCATGAGAGTGTGGCTGAAGGCATGAAGCAGCCCAACAGAAGGACCGAGGTGTGGGCAGTCAGAGAGCTGGGGAAGGGTGAGAACGGAGCAGCAGGTTTTGGCAGGAGGGAGGCTGAACCTCTGCACCAGACAGGAGAGCAGATCCGGGCCTGGGGAGCAGGCAGGGACAGTCCCCTCCAGCACTGCCGACCTCCTCCTCTCCGTCTCCACCTCGGGCGAGTTGGTCCTTCACCTCGACACCCAGCTTGCTGGACAGCCCATGGAAAGAAACAACACTGGAGGGACTCAGAAGCCATCTCAGGAATCCTTGTAAAAAAAAGCAGCCCAGCAGCCAGCCCACCTGCAGACTCTGATCCCGCTGCAACTGGGAGGTCTCCTCCTCTGTTCCTTGCCACCGTGCGTTAGGTGCCCGTTCCTGGGAACGGCCGTTTGCATCCCACCATGACCAGCAGACCAGAGCCAGGGGCTTCTGCAAGGCCTCTTCAGAGGCTGCTCTTGCTGCAGCCATGAATGCACCAAGGAACCACCGGCTGTGGGTAGGGTGGAAATGCGAAAGTGCCAGGAGGAAAACAGACTGGGTCCCGAAGTCAGCAGGAGACTAGCCAGAGGCTGGAAAATCTGCTATATGAGGAGAGACCAAGAGAGCTGGGGCTGCCCAGCCCAGAGAAGAGGAGGCTGGGGGGAGTCCTGAGGTCTTCTGGAGGCGAGGGCATCCGAGCAGTGCTGTCACTGGCCAAGCTTTGTGAGATGTCTGCGCCTAAGGACAAGGTCACCTTGCAAACTTTCTTCCAGACTGATTTCCAAGCCTACAGCTGAACTTCCCGCAGGTGCTAAAGAGACAGAGAGGTTAAGCCAGGCCCCACATGGCAGTGCCTTGAAACCTGCAGTGACGGTCCTGGGAGGCACTGGCTAAGACGTGACAGAGCAAGAGATACTCCTAGGGCTGCTGTGAAACAGCCTGACATCAGGTAGGGAGAAGACACAGTTCAAGGTAGGGACCACGGCAACCCTTGCTGCCAGTTGGCTGTGCTGATGATGAGGATCTTCGACCCTGGGAAGCCCCAGAGGGCCCAGCACATGGGAAGGGCTCTGGGGCACAGACCTTCTCCCAGCCAGGAGCCACCTTGCCCTGCTGGTGGCACCAAGCACCAGCTTTAAAGAGTGCACTGCAATTTCCTCAGCTGGAAAACATAGTTCCTTTGGGATGAGCAGGAGAAGACGTGCCACACCACAGGCTGGGAAGGTGCTCTGCACCTTGCTGTAGGCTTGGGCGTGTGCAGATTTCCCGTGGGACATTCCGGTCGGTGCTGGCTGGCTCACCTCGGCTGTTCCGCTGGGCAGGACCAGAGAGGCATGCCTGCAGAGGCCCAGACGCAATTTAACCCTCTTATCCTTGTTCTCTTCAGATGCTGAGACGTTGAGAGGCATTTCACTCCCCGCTAGCCTCTACAGCCCATTTCACTGCTCACCGAAGGCAGAAGAAAGACTCCGGTTAACTTCCACAGGCTGTGGATAAAGATCTTGTGTGCTATAGGACTAGAAGTCAGCTTTTAAATAACATCCTCTAAGCAGAATTTCTCATACTGCAGGACAGCCGTGTTCAGAGAGAAGTTCTCTTCATATCGAGCCCGACTCTTCTTTTGTCCCCTCTTCCCGCACGAACACTTTGCAGCAAGCTGCAGAGCATGGCTGAAGGAGAAAGCTAAGCCTACTTCAGACAAAATAGCACTTAAGGGCCCGATGCTGCTGTAAAGGCCAGAAATAAAAGCCTAACCGAGAGCTGTGATGCGCGAGGCGGCTCTATTCAACAAGTCACTCGGATATCCAGAAGCTGCACACAGATGTAATTTATTTCACTTTGAGTCCGAAAAGCTCAGGTGGCCTCTAAGAGCAGAAAATGCTCCAGGCCCATTTGACTTTCTCTCCCTCTTTTCTTTTGTGGTGGAATAACAAATGCAAAAGCCCATTCAGTGAAAAGGCTGAATGCAGCAAACTTTCATCCGATGCTCAGAAGAGTGAAGGCACCAGCCCCAAGCGCAGCCTGGCCTGCTGGGACCACGAACAGCTATTTTCTCCCAGGTTCCTTTTTGGAACTGCGCAATAGGCGAGCTTGGCTCAACAGTGAAAACACCTATGAGAGGAGAGCAGAGCTAGAAAGATCATAGCAGGGACCCTGCAAACTCCTGGCTGGGATGACTTAAAGCCCAACTGGTTTTGGTTAGGAAACTGTCTCAAATGGGTCTTATGAGACACAGATGTGATGAGAAGCCAAAGCTCTGCTGTCTCCTGCAAAGGCTGGTGAAGCTGGGTAGTGAAGTGGGTGAGAGCTGTTGACCTTCGGGCTTTGGGAGCAGTCCTGGCCACCTCAGCGCGGGGCTGGATCCGGGTTGTCCCGTCCCTGGATCTCCAGAGGAACGCTTCCAGCTTTGCAGGTTTGCAAACAAGCACACAGCTCTCAGACGGACGTGCCAAGGCCTTTGTGGCCTGTGATTTGAGTTTTCTGCCTCTCGTATGAGAAGGGTTTGTCACAGGTTTGCTCTCCACTCTACCTCTGCCACATGTGAGTTCCATTCCTCGCTGACCTGTCCTGCCCATCCATTCAAACCTGGCACACGCTCTTTCTGAGCTGGAACAGTTATCTCCTGCAGATGAGTGCAGGCAAGCAAGCGAAAACGCCCTGCGTAGCCTTGCTCTGCTTCTATCTGTAAATCAGTTTTCAGCAGAAAACCCCTTTTTTCCTCCTTGCTCAAAGCCACCAGAAGTGCTCTGTGGCAAGAAGGATCTCGCCCTCCTTCTGCCCCACCAGCAGCCCCACGAGCTGTCTGTGCTCCCTTCTGACCCCGGACTGTGTCTGCCCTCGAGCCAGCTGCCAGCCAGGTCTGGCAATGCTGCTGTGAAACAAATCTTCACACGGCTTGGAAAAGACAGGTTTTAGTCTGGGAGTAAGGAAAAGGGATTCTGCTGAGCGTGGAAAACTCCCAAGGAAGGGTTTCTCGCCTGGCAGCAAGGCCATGGAGCGGCAGACATGCTGGTGGGGGCTGATTCCTTCCTTCACAGCTGCATCGCCCGCTGCTTCTGACTCCCACCTCATTTCTCGGAGCTAGCCTTACGGCTCTCCACCCGCATGTCAGAAGCAAGCCAATTTTCCGCGACAGATTAAGTGCCTGGTGTGACAAATGTACTTAAAGTCAAGCGGGGAGACTCCTCTGCAACCTGCAAGGGAGTGTTTAATATTCTAACTGAGTGCCTGCTGGTGCGGGGGTGATGCAGACGATGCCGGCGTGGCTGGCTGTACACCCCGTGGGTCGGCAAGGACACCCGTGCGGCTCCACGGTCCCTCTGCTCTCTGTCGTGCACTGCCAGGAGCTGGAGGAGACATCCTGCGGTTATGGCATTGTGCAGCCATGCACAGCCCTTAGTGTCTCAGGAGCAACGTTGACAGTGTTGTTTTGTTTTAAATGTAATCAATGGAAACATCTGCGCTTCCCTTTGTGTAATACAAACCCTGCTGCAACCAAATTTTAAATACCTCTCTGCGGGATGCCTCTCACTGTACCTCCCCAAAGAACATCTCCTGCAAAGGAAAGAGGTGAGAGAGAAATTCTGGCACTGTTCAAGGCTCCTGACATAACCTTTCCTCCTCCTGTCAGCGCTGGCTTTCCTGCAATGATTGCTGAGGTACTGGAGGACCAGTGGAGCGGTTCCCTGTATTGCAATGCTAAGCTTGGGTAGGCTGGACGGGCCCCAAGCGTGCCTGTGAGCAGTGTCCGAGCGCGTCGGGCTGGAGCTGTTGCAATGCCTTACCCTCAGATGTCTGGAGGACCAGGGTCTTGCTGTACGGGCTGACTCCTGTTTTGTTGAAGGCTTTGACACGCGCGCTGTACGTGCTGTTGAAGTGAAGCCCGTCCACTGTGCACATGGTCTCCTTGCCCACGTACACCTCCTGCAAAGCAAGCACAGGCGTGGGTTAGTGCCCTGACCACGGAGTCCCGGGGGTGGGAGAACAGCTCCCGGCGGTCGTGATGCGCAGGGTTCAGCCACGCTCTGCTATCTGGGGCAGACTTATGAGCACTGGATACGGCTAAAGCAGAGCAAAACAGCCCTATGATTGTTCCTTGACAATACTGCACCATAACAGTTTCTGTTTCTGTAGAGAAAAGATATGCTACCCATATACAACCAAGTCATAAGGCATCAATCCCAGCCAAGCTCCACTGAATCCCAGAGGAGCTCTGCCAGAGAGAGGAATTTATACAGACTGAGCCCAGGACACAGAAACATCCTTGCAGAAACCAATTTTCCACGCTCTTGGGTGGCAGGATCAAAGCATTCCTTGAAAGAAAACAAGGTGATTGCACCGAACGGGTGCTGAGTCACTGGCTTCTGCTGCCGTAGCCCTGCTCCGAGGAACGGAGTTGTGCGAGCAGGGACAGCGGTGAACAGGCCTATGGGCTACCGAAACACACAGCTCACAAAACGTTGACTTGTATTTAGCAGATCCCAAGACAAAGCCCTCTTTGCTGCCCTTCGTGGAGCAGAGGCAGGCTCTGCACAGGCAGCTCGCCCGCGTGGGAAAGCTTCGCTGCCCTGCTCCCACTCCAGAGCCTGCTGCGCTTTGCTGCCCGAGGTGATGGGGTGCTGCTGCTTCTAGAGCCAACGCTTGACTCTGGCCCCTTTCCTCGCAGATGGGTGCATGTCCCCAGAGCTTATAGGGGTGCCTGCATGCTCCCCTGCGCTGCAGAGCAGAGATGATGGCTTCCAGTCCCCCCGAGACTGTGACCAGGGCTGGGAGCAGCCCAAGCCGCAGGGGACCTGGGAACAGTGACGAGTCAGTGCTCAGGGTCAAGGAGCGCAATGTAGGTGTCCTAATGAACCGAGTGAGATCGGTGATGGGACGCTAAGGTGGCCCTGATCTACCTGGGCTCCAGCACCCACAAAGCTCTCCTGCAGCTGGCACCCCATGAGAGAGCACAGCTCCCACTTCACCACCCCAGGCTCACTGCAAGGAGTCCCTTTGTGGCCTGATGCCCAAAGGCAGAGTCCTCTTGCCTCAGCACACCGTCCCAATCTCTCCTGCCTGTTTGTGTGGGAGGTAGCTAACAGGCTGGGCTACACACTGCCCTGCTCTCGGCAGGGACTGTCACCTGTACGACAGTCGGCACTCCCAGCTCACTGGGCAAATCGCTGCCTGACACGGTTGGGCAAATCGCTGCTTTCAGGCAGGACAATGACTCAATGATTTGAGAAGCCCGCGACGTTCCCCTTCGTGGCACCAGCTGTGTCCCATCGGCTGGAGCAGCCCTCTATAACCCCAGCGGCAGGAACACCACGCACATCCAAGCTCCCTCCCACTGCTGGTGGGAGGAGAGAAGACTGGCGTGCTGGGGAATTGCCCTCACCTTCCTGGAGTGGCTGTGCTGAGCCTTGGTCTCCCCACACCCAGCCTCCTGCTCCCTTCTCTCTCCAGATCCCACCCACATCACCTCTCTTCTGCCTCGACTCTGCTCTGGCTCCTGCCTGCCTGAGTTTCTCGTGGATGGATTCAGAAAACGCGATGGGCTGGTCCCTGCGCCTGCTCTCGGTGGATGTGAACATGCCAGGATAATTATTAGCATTTTGGATCAGAGAAAAATCATATTTTAATTGTGTAATTACAGCAATTTAAAAGGCCTCAGGCCTTAAACACCTCTGCTTGCTGGGAGCTGGCAAACCATGAGCCTTTCATGGCAATTAGCATACCTTGCATGAAATATTTAGCAACCTAAAAAGACAGAGCTTCAAATGCGTTCTTTGCGTTTGCAAGTCATATTGGTCACCGGAAAGGTATTTCCACCCCCCCAAATAACCTTGCACCCCAAAAGAGCCCGCAGCTTGTCTGCACCGTTGGCTTCCCCGGGCACCCCAGCAGCGAGTCTCATGTTGCCAGGGAAGGAAGGGACTTCCAAAAAGTCTGGGAAACTCTCATGGCAGGGCAATACTGGAACCAGGAGCAACACCTTGCCGCTGGGACTGGCTTCGTGCTCCGAGCACCTACCCTGAACTGGCCGCCGTTGCCGTCATCGAGCTCCAGGATGTAGCCTTCCACCTGCACCGTCGACAAGGGGGGCTGCTTCCAGGACAAGGTGGCACTGTTGTTGTGAGTGCAACACTCCTCTAGCTGCAGGATCGGAGGGGCCGGCACTGGGGAGGAAACTAAACGCAAATTAGTGTAACCCTGGCTGCTAGCACCACAGAGGAGGAGCCGGGGATAGCCGCGGCATGCATGTTTCAGCTGGAGCATGGAGGATGCATTTATTGCCTTGGAAGCCAGCACGGCACAAGGGAGGTAACTGCGATCTCACGGGTGTGAGGTGGGGAGGAAGCAGAAAGGACCGTTCTCCAAACAAGCTCCACCAAATTCCTGCACCCCGCAGTCCGGTGATGCTGAGATTTCCCCAGAGCTTCTCTGCTTTCTTCCTGCTTTCTAATGAATTTCGGTGAAATACGGCAGCACAACGATATACCTGGTATAGAACTGCCTGGACTCCTCACAGCAGCCGGTCCCAAACCTGGGACACCCTCCCAGACACGCTCTGCAGAGCTGGCTGCAGCCGTGGGCCTGGCCTAATCCACAGCCCAGCGGCAAGCGCTGCTCCACTTTTCCACCACACAAATTCACTGCGACAAAACAAGAGATGCCGGAGCAGCAGAGACGAACCTCGGGCCCTGCAGAATAGGGAGCGCCTGATCTTTTTGCCATGGTGGAGTCCGTCCTGAAAGGGCAGGCGACCGCACGAACTGTGAGACTTGGTGACGAGACGAGTGTCTCTCAACGATGCCGTTTTAGGGCTAGGGAATGAGGAATGATAGCCCTTGACCTGCCAAAAAATGCTCAGGGTCCTTTCACGCTGTCCCAAGCAGAGCACCCACTCCAGGGGATCCCGTGGGGCCCACAGGGCTGCCCCCTCTGCCAGCTCAGCCAGCAAACAGCTCTTGCTGCCGAACACCTCCCGGGGAGGCACAAGAGGCACAGGCACATTTCAGAGAGGTCTCCAAACAGGCCCCAGACAGTCCCTGTCCTCAGCCTCTGCTCGCCGCTGGAACTGAAGCTGGGAGGCTGCGCACCCTATGGCCTCCCATCAGCTACACAGGGGACAGAAAGGACTGTCAGGGCTTTTTCTGCTCCAGCTGCTGTATTTGGGCATCTCCAGGTGCGTAATGCAGCCTGCTTCTGCTCTGCAAAGCACGGAGGAGTGACAGCACAACAGGGAAAGGGGATGTCCACTGACACGTCCCATCCCCTGGCCAGGGAGAGCCCTCCCAAATCTCCTCTCAACAAAGCTGCTCGTCCTCCATCCTCATCCTCACCGCCCAAAGTCTGACAAGAGCCAGCGAAAAAAAGACATGGAGAATCCAGACAAGATGTGGAGGAGCCGCGGATGCCTGGGATAGAAAAGATGGACTCGCTGGCAAAGGTTCACTATTCACTACGTCCCTCTGTGACTCCTCCACCTCCTGGGTCAGATCCTCAACAGAGAACACCAGGCTGAGGGCCTGGAGAAACCCAGTGGAGAAAGACCTCGTGTAACAGCTAATACAGTAGAAGGGACGCTGCTCGTTCCTAGCACGTGCTGGCAATGGATGTACCTATTGCTTACCTCTGCTCTTTATCGAGACCTCTGGTGCTGCCCTGCCTCCCCCGGTGCTGCGACACGTGTTTGGGATCCAAACCCAACCTTCTGCAAAGCCTATAAAACATCAACTGATTTCCACTGTGAGGGTGAGATGAGAGGACAGCCCATGTCAGCTCTGCCCTGCCTCCACAGAGGAGGGCAGGCAGCTGAACTAGCAGCAGATTTGCTCTTATTAATTAAAAATAACCCTCCGGGCTAAACTGAAAGAAGGGAGGGCAGGAACACGCTAAGCGAAACGGTAGTCCAGCCCTCGCTGGGTTTGGCTCCCCTCACTATCAAAAAATGTTACTGACACTTCAAATTAACGGCCTGGCTAACGATGAGCAACGACAAGCGCTCCCAGCAGCCATGCCCAACGCACCACTCTCACTGCAGCAAATACCAGCAGGGCCATTATCTGAAGACACTCGTTATCGTTACAGAGGAAGCGCGTGGTCAACAGCCTTCCTGTGCCCGACCGCTGCGAAATGCCAGTGTGTGCAAATGGCTCCCGAGCCAGGAAATCCAGCCGTGACGGCAACGAAGAGCCACGCCAGACCTGCAGCTGGTGGCCTTTCCCCCAGGCAGCTCATCTGCACCAGCTGAAGGTACAGGCCTACGTTCAACGTCCTCCCGAGTTCCCCGCGTCACAGCCCGTTTGCATCTTCTGTCAGCTTCCCAGGGCTTGCCAAGTTGCAAATTGCTCACAGGTTGCAGCGGCTCTCTGCTTCCTGCAAAGTGATGCAAACGGGCTGGCTCTCCGTGGCACGGGAGAGTGAGCACAGAGGGAACGGAGAATGAGGAGGAAATTAAAATTGAAATGAAGGTCTAAAACAACAGGGAGGAGAATCACAGAATCATAGAATCGTTAAGGTTGGAAAAGACCTCTAAGATCATCGAGTCCAACTGTCGACCCAACACCACCATGCCCACTAAACCATGTCCCTCAGTGCCGCATCTACACGTCTTTTAAATACTTAGAAGGGAGGGAGGAAAGACCCCGAGCTAAGTGGCGTGGCTCTTTGTGCCTTTGTGTTTGGAGGGACAAGGTGGCTGCCCACAGCAGGCAGCTCGCTAGCTGGCCCATGCCAGATGCTGTTCAGCACTGAGAAAGCGAGCGTGTGTGAGCACAGGTTTGGGAAGTGCCATTTGCTGCTCCCAAGACCCTGGTCTCAACCTCCACCAGCTGAGCAGGGACCAACCTGGCTCTCCTGGCACTGCAGAGCACTTTCTAAAGCACTGCTAGGCGAAACCAAGCTCCCGGCACCTTGATCTGGCACACAGCTGCCCAGGGATCAGAGACAGGGAGGCAGGTGGCTGGCCCAGGGGTGCAAACTACACAGGAACGGGCATAACTCCGGGTCTGGGGTGCCCAATCTCGCGGGGAGAAGATGAGAAACTGTCCTCTGCTGCCCCTCCCCTGTGATGAGTTGCATGAAAGCACTCAGCATGATCAGAGACAGGCTTTTGAGAGGCACTGGAAATATTCTTACCTTTCATCTGCACGAAGTCGAGCTGGTGGATGGACTGCAGCAGAGGGGCGTTGTCAAGGTTCAGGTCGAAGTCTGTGGTCATCCGGGGTGTGAGCGTCCCCTTTCCCCACTGGTCCTCGGTTAAGTGCACTCTCCTGATGAGAGCGTCGGAGATCTGGTGGCAAGGAGCAGCCTCAGCTACCGTGGGCCACCTGGGCTGCGTGCTGTGCCTTGTCCCTTCCCTCCACCTCCCAGGCTGCCACTTCTGTCCCCGACTGCCAAAGGCTGGGACATCACACGTGGTTTCTAGCATCACCCTTTGCTGCAGGCTGAGATTGGAAGAGGGACCCCAGGAGCTTCGGGGACTATTTTAAAGGCAGGGTATAGCACCAAAGGGACCAGCCCAGGAGTGAACGGTGGGATGCAGTTCTCAAGTGCTGTACGTCCGCCTCTCGCTGGAGAACCACGGGCCAGCACGTTATGACCAGCACGTACTCCAGAGGTACACCACCGTCTGCTGCAACCCTCTATTCCTCCGGTCAGAGTAAGAAATGTCCCTGGCCTGGTTCTGCTTCTGTCCTGCTGTGACTTGGAGGCGATGAGAGGTTGGCCCTTGATTTTATGGCTGGAAAAGCTGGGGACATCATCCTTGGTGTAACTCCCCCAACTCTGCTGCATTACCCCAGAGCCCTCGTCTGTGCAATGCCTTTCCCCGCTCCCCTCGTAGCCCAGAGGTGAGCACCTCCACACCAACCTGCAGGAAGCCGCTGGGGTCGTTCTCCTTGATGACCTCCAGGCAGTACTCCATCAGGCCCGTGGTCTGGCGCAGCTTGACCGTGCAGTGAGAAATCTGGTCTCGCACCACCTGCAGTGGGACAAGGAGAGCAGCGTTGCTTGGAACCGCGGGTTTTTGCGAGACAGGGAGCAAACGGGCTTCGGTGCTGCGTGGGCACAGGGACAGGGTCAGGGCAACGTGAAGGGAGACAAGACTCAAGGGAAGAGAAAAAGGCAGAACTAGCCAAGACTCATACACCGAATTCCAGATCTTTGAAAACCTGGTGAACAACAACAAGCCTTGTTTAGCTCAAAACCATTAACCCATGTAATTATTCAAAGCAGTAGGGCAGTTCCTTGCTCTTTCTTTAGTTAAGTCAGCTTCCAAATGACCGCTTATGAACTCCATGCAAAGCAAATGCCTACCTCCATAGATACACAGCTGCTGCTGCAGCCTCTGTGGGGCTTCCCTATCCATCCTCGGCGTGGAGCTGGGCTGTGGGGTTGGCTCTGGGGCAGCTGCACTCAACCACCCCGGGTGAGAAGCAAGCCTGGTATTTTGGTATTTCCAAGAGGAACGAACGCACCACCTCCCCCAGCTTCAGCTCTGACTAATGATCTGTCTGAGATGCTCATCTGCCCATCAGCTGAGATGGACCACGCTGCAGAATTGCCTCATTTTCTCCACCGGCTGCAGCGGGAGTCTGGGGATGAGCTCAGAAGGAGAGGTGTGCCAGCGAGAGGAGATAAATCCTGCGCGCCTCGTGGCAGGGCTCCCTACAGCATGCCAAGCTCTGCCTGGGGCTGCCCAGGCTGCACGCTAAAGCACGTCTTCTTGCACCCACGGATGGTTCCCCCAGGGGAACGTGTTTCAGCATCCCAGCAGTGGAGTACAACCAAGCATGTGGTTTGGCTGGTGCCTGCGGGCTCTGCTGACCTTCCCCGAAACACAGCGGGGAGGACGGGGTTCGGGCTCCGATACCGCAAGGGTGTACTTCAAGGTTGGCTGGTCCCGCAGAGCAACTGCGAGGTGCTCCCTCACGCTGAATCCCTGCAGAAGGAGACAGTGCAGATCTGCACCTGGTGTCAGCAGGATTTCTTCAGCAGAACAGACAGACGGACCTGGTGGTGTACGGGAGATTGGCAGAGCGGCTCAGGAAGAGAGATTTTATGCTTTAGAGGAACATGCCCATGGCAGATTTTTTTTTTTTTTCTGGAAGAGCTTTAAACTGTGTAAAGTTCTTCACTAGGACTGAACAAAGCTATGCAGCTCTAGAGACCACAGCTATTCAGGATGTGACAGTAAAGATGAGCTTCGCATCAGCATCTGCAGCTGCAGTGCGATGGAAAAGACTGCAATAAGCAGCGATTCACATTTCTGAAAGCACAGTTGTGTCCTCAGCGCTGCAGTTGGTGAATCCCAGCGCCTGTGTGCCCACCGCTCCATAGCCACAGCAGTGCTCAAATGACCACCCTGGGCTGAGGAGCACCTCCCCCTGTGAGCATCCCTATGGTCCGAGGGATGGGGAGGTGACACGAAGCACACGTCAGCCTCCTGCGGTGAATGAACCTGGGTTTTAAGGGGGGCGATGACTCCTGCAGGGCAATCAATCACATCATATGTTGCTTAATTATAGTTTAATCACCTCTACTTAATCACCTAACAGGAAGAAAAGAATCTCCAGTCCTGCAACTTGGGACACCATATCTGCTTCTGTGAAATGCTATGAAGCACTCTCCTAGTCAGCTCCTTTTTTTTTAGGGAGCTGCTGTTTGCAGAGCCACCCCTGAGATTGCTTTTAGCAATCCCAGCCTGGTGTTTCCAGCCCGTGGCAGAGGGAGGCCGGAGCAAGCCCGGGGGGTTGGGGAGGGGGCTGCAGCCAGCGCACCCCGTGTGCAGGGCGGACAAGGCAGCAGGGGGAGCTCCCATATTGCTCCTCCAGACCAAGACGTGTGTATGGAGGCTTGCAGAGATGCTGGATTGCTCTGAGACGGGGATTGCTCTGAGACGGGGCTAGGGAGCAGCATGATCGGCACACACCGGTTTTGACCTCAAACGTCATCATTAGAGGGAAGACCTCATTCAGCGCCAGTTTCTAACACTTGAGTGCACTGGCATGGGTTTGCTGGCATGGAGCAGAGGCAGCAGCTAGTCCTGGAGATCTGCACTCCTACGCTGACCTCTTCCAAAAGCGTGGGCGAGCCCCTGGGTTTCCTTTCTCCGTGGGGATGGTCAGTCCTTCCGGAAGGTGCAGCGGGGGGTGCAAAGCCTTGCGGCAGCCTGCAGCCCCTTGCATTAATTTGAGCTCTTCTGCCCAGAGAGAGGGTGTTTGGGGGGTTGTTCTGCTCTTGCAAGGGTTGTCAGCTGTATGGATGTCGGGTCTTTCAGCTGCAGACTGTGGTGGTACCACTGAGTGTGAGATGAGCCCAGCCTGCAGGCTCTAACCTTGCTGTTTGAGCATATCCTGACTGCAACTACCGAGCCAGAGCAAAGTTTTGCATTCCCTGCCTGCTGGGCTGCAGACGGGCACGTGGGGATCATACCCTGAACGCCCAGAAAAGCAGCCTCCTTCTTTCATGTGAGACCCCTCTCCGGGGAAATGCACAGGCCGCCAGGAAGACAGCAAAGATGGGATTGGTAAAACAATCTTCTTATCTTCTTTGCAGCTTAAATCTCTGTCTGGTTTGCCCGGGATAATGAATTTGTGGGCCTCTCCCTGCCCGAGTAGATGCTTTCGAAGTATTACCAGCAGAATTGCCATCTGCTACCACCAGCCAGACATGAGCCTCCAAGAAACAGCATTTGCTCGGTGAAGATAGGCACGGTGTCCCAGGACAGCCCTGGACACGCGGCTGGCTCCCCCGGCACCCACCTGGCCAAGAGACGGGGTTACTGGTGAGGCAAGGGGACCTCCAGTGTCAGCGTGAGACCTGCGGGGCTTCCTGGCACTGTCTGGGAGGAGGGAGCTGGGGCACGGAGATGTCAGCCCTGGCTTTGCCCCTCTACCCTGCCTGCTCCCCGGCAGCAAGGTGAGGCGAGTCCAGTGCCAGGCAGCTCCAGGCTGAGTAATTACCAGGCTTCCTGGCAGATTATCCCTGCTAATAAAGGTCTGGTCCGGAGTGGAAGTGCTTGCTGCAGGCTGCCACTGAGGCTACGTAAATCTTTATGCATGTGGGTGCAAACTGAGATACAAGAAATTCCATTTAAACAAAAGTAAAAGCTTTTTTTTTCCCCATAAAGGTCGTCAAAGACCAGAACAGAGAGGCTGTGGAGTCTCCAGCCTTGGAGACATTCAAACCCCGACCGGTGGCAGCCTGCTCTAGGTGCTCAGAAACTGCACCCAAAGCAGCGGCTGCGGCTCTGTCCCAGCCCACGCCTTTGGCCCCACGATCCTGCCCTTCTGTAAGTCTGTGATCCCCTTTGGGGCTCCAGCACCTATTCGTCTGGAGAACTAAAGCATGAAACAGCAGTTTAATTGCAGCATCTACACAGCAGGCAAGCCGACAGCAGAAATCCACGTTTCCCTTCACCGCCACCAACCTGTTTTCAAGGCAAGACAAGGGATCTTTGGTTGGGACCTAGTGGGGCTTCATGGCTTTACAGCTTCTGCGCTCCACACAAGAGAAATGGGACGCAGACAGGAACAGTGAGACTCCATGAGTCGCTTTGATTAGGGAAATGAAGGGTTTTAAAAATAAGACATAAACAGCTCCCACACCTTTGAAGGCACGGTCTAAAGCCGGCGGAGCCAGTGAAGCCCACAAGTTTTCCGTGTGGCCTTAAGCATCTTGTGGTTCTCCTCATGCATCAGGGATTTCCACGCTCTGGGGTACCTCAGCTCCCTGTTACCCCAGTAATGGAGAGTATTTGGATGAAGAGACCTGAAAGTAAAATTTGGAAGTTCCTCAAGCCTGTGACTCATGCAAGCAAATGAGGCTGTGTTGGGCTGAGGGGCAGCCTCAGGAGGCCTCAAAAGGCTTGCAGTATTCACCAGATCGCCAGGAAAACCAGGCTGCCGTGAGTTCTGCATGGAGGCAGACAGTTTACAAACCTCTCCTGAAACTATGTGGGTAACACACCTCACTGAATGGTGGCATCTTCTGGGAAAGGGCTAACGGCTCAGCTGGCGAGGGGATTTGGGCAGCTCCATACATTTTGTTTGTGGTCGTTTTTATCAAATGCCTTTTTTTCCCTTTGGGTGCCAAAGGAGGCAACAGCCAGAACCTGGCTGCTAATTACACCCTATAAAAAGGACTTTTGCTGCGCACTCACAGCAGTTCACTACTATCTTAAAATAGGAAATTTATTTCAAGAGCTTTTCTTCCCTGTAAGATGACATTAACTATAATTTACATTTTAATACAGCTCCTAGAAGGCAATAACATCTGCACTCATCTCTACTTAAACGTCTTCCTCACCTTCCTCCTCTTTTTAGTACTTGGCTAGATAACCGGTTTTCAAGGCACCCAAGCTCACTTGAACCTCGGCTCCTCAGCGCCCAGGACGAGTCCTGCCGGGGATGTCACATGGAGGACACGGAGCCTCCTCACCCCAGGCACGCTGTGGCCAGGGTACGGTCACCTGCACGGCCGTGGGGACGGAGGGTGGTGTTACGGGGAGCAGTGCTGCTGTGCTTCGCCGCAGCGCTGCAAACCCAGATGGAAAAATCCCAGATGGAAAAATCCCCGGGACAGATCCCGATGGTTTGAATCCCACAATCACGTCCTCTGAGCAGAGCATTTCCAGGTGGATGTTTCCATGGTGACTTGCCTCTTGCTACTGGGAGAGAAGGCTCCGGCTGGAGCTGGAAAAAGCAGAGCTGCTGTATTAACAACGCTGTGCGATGCTGGCGGCGGCACGTCCTGGAGGCTTGCACAAGCCCGTTTTGATCAAAGGCACTGGCAAGCATGGGAAGGTGCGATATGAAGACCTGGTCTCCAGTGTGGAGCCACTGGAGGACATGGCACATGGACAGATGCTACGGAGGACAGACTTGATCCAGCTCTTCAACAAAACAAGTGGAAAGCTTGAGGGACATCAGAAAACCAGAGGCATCCCCTGCAGCCCGATCACAACTCTGCAGAGCTCCTCAGTTCCCAGCTCTTGGTGCCAACGCCCTTCCCAAGGTGCTCAGACACCATGCCAGGGGGAAAACAGTGCAGAGTACGGAGGGATCTGTAAGGGAGAGCAGCGGGCTGGTATCTGCATCTTTGGGAAATAATGCACCTCGTGATGAGCTTATCTGACCTGTGTGTCCTGTCTGGTGTTCCTGTACAGAAATGGTACGGTACAGGAAACCAAACCCGTGCTTCTGTACTGTTTCTCATCCTTTCACACCAATCCTGATCACCAGTGACCTAATCCAACGGGGGAAACCAAGTTTCCTTGGGCTTCCTGGAAAATCCTGAGTGTAACCCCTGAAGAAGTGTCACAGACCAGCAATTCATTTCTGAAGATTCAGGGCTACGGACAGGAGCCCTTGGTGAGCATTTCCTATATAATTAGTTCCCCTGGGAAATGTGACAACTGCTGTTTGCCTGCAAGAGCTCTGCAGTCAAAGCACCATGGTGAAATCACAGAGCAAAGGCACCCCATGACCTGAAGGCCAGAAGAAGGCCAGAATTGTCCACCACGCTGCTGAGAGCTTAAAGGAGGTGCACACAGAGCTCAGTCCATGTGTACTGTGGACTAAGGAGAGATTTCTTACTGGGACAACACTGCAGGGAAGCTTCTATGTCCCCTGCTCAAACTGGCCCATGCCGTAGGGCATCTTCCCTTGGGGAAGACCATACTGGTCCTTTGAAAACCAGGGCCAGCAATGAGGAGCAGGACAGACAAGGAGGTCTGTCCCAGAGGTGGAGTGGGCACCTGGCCCCACTGCTCCTCCAGATGTTATTTTTTTAAAGCCTGGGTTCTTAATCCGAATCCAAGTGTAGGGGGAGGTTGGGGAAAGGCAGGGAAACATCTCTTCCAAGTTCATTTCCTCCCAAACCTCTCCCCGTCTGGAGCAATTAGTGTTGGCCCACAGGCAAACCTGGTTTTCTGCCTGCCTCCATGAAATATGTGTCAAGCCAAAGTAGGCCAGTCCTGAAGCCGAGCCAAGCCCAACTCCGGGAGCCGCACAGGAATGGGAACTTGGGCTCCCCGGTGAAAGGCACCTGTGGCACCGCGCCAGCCGGCATTCTCTGTCCCTCCGTGCCTCTCCTCCTCGCTCACATGGTGCCATCCCGTGCCGTGATGACCAACCTCGTAGTAGCCCACGGAGAGATCAGCTGCAGCCAGGGCGCTGCGGCTCCACGCTGGCTGCTGGAGCAACTAGTTTGGATCTGAAAGGGCTCCTGGGTGGCACAGCTAATTCTCACCGGTCAATCTATCTGCTCATCTCCTCCTCAGCTGACTTGCTCTGGGGACTTGGCAGTGGCAAGTGGACACACAGGCCAGGCTAGGATGCTCTGGTCTCCTATGAGAAGGGGTGAAGCTATCACCGCAAGCCAGCAGCCAATGTTGTCCTGTCCTAATGTGAACATCAACCAGGACAAGCCCCATGGCCCTGCAGCAGGACCCACCACGGGTCCAAATTCAGTGCAAAGTGCGTGCCGGGGCATGCGTAGGAAGAGGCAGCGCCGAGCACGCAGCATGCTGCTGAAGACGGGGCAGGCAGAGGTAGGGAGGCACACCATCCTTTCTGACACCCTGAAAGGATTCCCGCTCCCTCTGCAACGCCTCTAGAGCTCCAGAGCCTCGGGGAGAAAGCTGGGGGCTTTGTTATCCCCCCCAGCCAGCTCCAGCCTCGGGCAGCGGGGGGTCGTCCTGTCGGGAGGCAGCTGCTCCAGGCACAATGCTGCTCCCCCTTCATGTCTCGTCGCATTCCCCTGACCCTTTGAGCAAGGCCAGCCCAGCCCGTGCCCAGCTGGAGCTGCAGGTGCTGCCTTTCATAGAATCATAGAATCGCTTCGGTTGGAAAAGACCTTTAAGATCATCGAGTCCAACTGTAAACCTAACTCTGCCAAGTCCACCACTACACCATGTCCCTAAGTGCCACATCTACACGTCTTTTAAATACCTCCAGGGATGGTGACTCCACCACTTCCCTGGGCAGCCTGTTCCAATGCTTGACAACCCTTTTGGTGGAGTAATTTCTCCTAATAACCAATCTAAACCTCCCCTGGCGCAACCTGAGGCCGTTTCCTCTCGTCCTAAAGGCATTTCCTTTGTTTCCAGGAGGAAACCTCCTGTTTCCTTTGTCCAGGAGGTTCCTTAGAGGGGGCGAAGGGGAAACTGCCCCACGCAGCGACGACCTGGGCAGCCCCTTCGCCTGGGTGACGGAGCACATGGGGACAGTAGCAGTGCCAGGGAGGGGGGCGCAGGGGACCAGGCTACAGAGTTGGTGGTGAACACTCGCCTCGGTGGCCTGGTGTGGCTGGGGGACCCTGCGCGTGCAACAAGGAGGACAGCAGGGAGGTACCCAACAGGACCTCTCCTAAATCCCCTGTCCTGTCTGCAGCTTGTGAAAGCAGGCAAGACCCTCTCTGTCCCGGTCCCCAAGCCAGAGGGGAAGGATGTGCGTTGACCTGGGCTGGGTGCCAAGGCTGTGTGTCCCTGACGATGCTGACGCCCTGGGAGGCAAATCTCAGTGTGCAAGACCCTAGCTGGCACTCGGGTGGGTCAGCGCTGCATGACTCTCCCCATACAATGCTAAGGCCAAGGCAGCACAGCCGCATTTATTACCTACCTCCCCCCCCCAAGAACTGAAAGGGAAAATCAAATAATTTCAGGCTAAAAATCTGAGCAGAGGGGAGCAGCTTCTGGATTTTAAACCCCAGCTGCTGTGATGCTATTGGTAACTGGATGCAGGCTGGTGTGCCACGTCTGCTGGAACACACAGGGTCACGGAGCCCTTTCTGCCTGCGCAGCTCCCTTTCCATGGCACGCGGGGAGCTGCAAGAGCTCGGTCCTTCAGGGAGGAACGCTCGAGGGCTGACTTTAACAGAGTCCTGTCTGAAACCCAGGGGCTGTTTCTTCTTTTAAGGGCCAGGCCTGCCTAATGACAAAGCCCGGCTGGTAACAAGGGTGGATGGGGGTGGGATGTACGTGTGCACGTGTTGCGGGGATTGGCAATACGGTAAGAGCAAGCAGAGGGACGCAGTTCCCTTCCTCCGGCCAAAAAGTGAAAGGCCTCCGTGGGTTGTGCTGAGCAGGGAAATTGCTTTGTGCTGCCCGGCTTTGTGAGAGTTTAATTAATTTTTTTTTGGGAAAGAGAGCCCACCAGGCAGCGGGGGTCCTCTCCGCGCCTAGAAGACAGGCTGGCAGTGTGGCATTTTGTCACTTTATTGTCAGACACTGAGCACTGATGCTGGGCTTGGTCCCACAAAGCTGCTATTGTCCATCTCCCGATGGAAACACTCACAAGCCCTCGTGTTGCGGTACCCATCGTCTGCAGGCAGACCGGAGACTGGTGGCCTCCTCCCTCATTTTAGGCAGGTCCAGGAATCCCTTTGGGAGCCTCCTGGATGGCCCAAAGCAAGACCAGGGGGGATGCAAGTGGAGCCAGAGAAGAGAGACAGATATTTCTAGCCCAAACACTGAAATGCCCTTGGAAGAGGGACCCTGGAAGCACAAAGTGATGTTGGTGTGAAATGCCTCAGCTGGCCCGTATCAGTGACGGCCAGGGTGCAGCTACCTCATCTGACAGACACTGGGCACTGCTACACCTGCCGGTCCCCGGTGAGATTTGGCCCTTTGCTTCCCTTCTCAGCCCCAAACCAGCTGAAAAGACACGGTGTAGTGACCGCAGGAACGACACAAGCCAGGAGCCCATTTTCACAGCTGACCTCAACACTCACGTCTAGGGCTGCATCTCAGCTCCCCCAGTGCCAACAATTCACCTCTCAGTGCAACCATCACCCTGAGGCCACGAGGTGCTCACCAAGCACAGAAAACAGAGCAATTCCTGCTCCTGCCTGATGACAAAACTGGCATCTCATGACGCCAAGTGCCCCAGGACTTCAGCTGAAGCCAGCAGAAGTTACAGGCAGTCAGCATCCTGCAGGATCATGCTAGTAGCTCGGAAGCAACAGGGGGCACGAACAAGGTCCTTTTCCAGCCTGCGGATGCTGTGCACATGGCTCTGCTGACCTAATGACTACTATTTGGCCCAGTAATGGGGTAATTCAGTGGGAACCACCACCTGGAGGAAGCAGCACTTTGCTCAGGGCCTGTCACGCTGGGAGCTTGAACGGAATTCAGCTCATGTGAAAAGCAAGAAGAGTGGCTTTCCAGTGACCTTCCCACTCCTCCCGCGGCGCTTCACCCCAACAAATAGCACCACGGTCCTCGTCCCCGTCCAGTGCCAACCCTGCAGAAAGCTCTCTGACCACCTCAGCCGGTGGGCAGGGGCTCACCTTCAGCTTGTGCTCGTGCTCCTTGTTGACCCGGGACAGCAGCTGGGCTTTCCTTCTGTTGAGGGCGTCGATGAGGGCGTCACACTGGGCCACCAGGCAGGCCTCGAACTCCACACTGTTCTCCTGCGGGTCAGAGCAGAGCATCGCAGCCCAGGGCATGTCTCCATTTCAGCTGGGAAACCTGATTTTTTTACGATACCACATGGGCCATTTTTCTATCTGCAGCTGCACCACTGCAACACACAAATCCATACCATTAGCACGTGGGGTGCTTACATCTTTGGCTCATGGCAAATGTGGTAGTGGCAGGTGAGGAACAGGTTTGGTCTGTCCGCCACATCCTCGAATCTGCCTATGGCAGAGACGGGAAGGGCTGGGGCCTCTGCCGCTCGCTCCGTGACACAGGCAGCTTTAGGAGCAGCAGTTTTTGGGAGGGCTGCGGGGGATAATATGAAAAGGCAGGTGCTGATTGTGGGCCCCTTTGGGAGAGCACCCACCAAACCAAGCCGGGGAGATGGGGCAGAGGACTTCAGAGGGCAGCTCATCCCCGTGGGAAGGGGCTGTTCCTCGGCCAGGAGACACAGTACCTGGATTTGCTGCACCATGTTGCGGAGTTGGACCAGGAACTCTTTTGCTTCCTTGGCTCTGTCTGACAACCCGTTCAGGGCCTGGGAAAGCTGGCTCTGCAGGGGGGAAGAAAGAGCAGGGTCATTTCCATGTCCTGGACTCATCCTTGTGCTGGAGGAGCCGATGCGTGTGTGATTTGGGCTGGGGATGGACTGCAGCCCAGCACTGCCTTCCTGGGGTTTGCAGCCTTCAGCAGCCCACCGAGGTGTCCTGCCCCTGCTGCCCTGAGTGTAAGGAGAGGAAAAGGAGGGTTAGCCATCATCACGGATGCCCTGGGTTTGGGAAGCAGATATTCAGTGTCCACCTCCTCCACAGGCTTCCCTGCGTGATCAGAGACAAGCCACATCCATCCTGGGTCTCAAAGTGAGCCAGTCAATACCTCCCCCGGATCTGTGCTCTCCAGGGAGCCAGACACCAAAAATCCTGTAGGATCTGACCCGTGTCTGCTGAGGACAATCAGCAAAAGGGCACAGGTCAGGCCACCCGGAATCAGCCTGAAAATCTCCCAATCCCTCCTGAAAGCTAAGGTAAAGCAGGGTCCTCCACCACCATGCAAAATACTGACTGCCCCTTTCTCCTCCGGTGCTAGGGGTGGGAGCGTACACCCACAGCCTGCTCTGGCCCGTGCTGAGCTGAGCTGCATAACACAGTAATAACAATGATAACGTCGTGCTTTTTCATTTTCCTGGCACTTTCCAAACATTAACTCCGGAATCTTCCCTTCTTGCTGTGATTTCAGTAAGAGTTATTATCTCAAGAGCTGGGCAAATCACCCATGACGATTTACCTCTGGGAGAGATTTTGCCTCTTTCGTGGGCTGCAAAATACCTGCAAACACCAGGCAGGTTTTGAGGTGTGATCTTTCTTTGTGGCAGACACAGAAGGGGGCCCAGAAGATGGCTGACGTCCCCAAATCTCCAAAAACCCAATGTGACCGTCCCTCCTGTGGTCAGGACGCTGGCACCGGGCTGGCACCCGCCCCGTTGTGCCATGCTCCCCCGGCCGCCGCCGCGGGGAGGGGGAGCAGTGGGAATGACGGTGCAGAAGGGATGCGAGGTCAGCGCAGCGCCTGCTGAGATGGCGCTGGGCTGAAATCACGAAAGAAAGAATCGCTATCGAAGAGATGAGGTAACAAACGAATGGCAACCATTTAATGGCCCAGAAAATGACCTTACTGCTGCTTCCCCAGGAGATGTTAATATAACCCTAGTGATTTCCTTTGTAATTTATCGTGCCCGAGTCACCAGGATGTGGAGCTAATCAGCGAATGCATCTCTAATAAAAATGGGATTGCTAAGTCAGCTCAGCAGGGCCTCCCCATCTCTCCTCCCTCCCCTCCCCGAGCAAAGGCTGGAGGATAGCCGAGGTCGGAGCCTGAGCTGCTCCCCACGGCGCTGGCAGCCCCACGCACCGCAGGGACGACCCAGCCCTGCCTCGTCCTCTCCGCTGTGCCCCTACAAAAGCCTCCGTCGCCCTGCCCCACGCTTGCCCTCCACAGCCCGCACACGGCTCCAGCCCTCCCAGATTTAGGAAGGCGTCTTAAGCCCGGCAAGGTGGTTTGCTGAGAACCGAGTGCTGCTGGGCCCTGGTCTTTGATAATGCAGGCAATTAATAGAGAAAATCAGTGGGAGTTTGTTATGTTTATAAGCTCCTCATTAAAATTGCAGCATGGTAGGTTTTTTCCTTTAATAAAGTCTTTAGAAGGCTGCTTTTTCTATCAACGTACACTTCAGAAAGGGGATCTTTATATCAACATAATTCTTTGAGGCTTTCCTAATGGGAAAGCATTTTAAATGCGCTCTTAAAATTTAATACGAGCTCTGCAATGCCAGTGTGCACTGTCCATTTGCAGCTCCTTCACCTGGGACACCCCCAGTCTCACAGCACAACGGCTTCCACGGCACAGCCACAAAAAGTCCACGAAAAGATGGTCCATCTCCTTCAGAGCCTCCCTCCTCGAGGTCTTACACTGCATCCCCCTCCTCAGCTCAGCCCTTCCCTCTGCTCGAGATGTTCTCAATGCCACCAGTGCCCACAAGCGAGGGGCAGGTTTATGAACTAGTCAGGAAACTTTATTTTTTCCAGAATCGTAAGGTTGATGAGGTGCACAGTGGACACCCTGCCCCGTCCCTCGTCCCCGGCATGGAGATTGGGGTGCTGACGCTGGCCCGCCCAGCTCACAGTGATGTGCAGTAAGAGCCAGCATCACCTGCGCAAAGTTGGGGTGTTTTCAAGTTCCTATGTACGGGTGGCCACAGGCTCCTCACTGGAAAGGGGAGCTCTAAGGGTTGGTTTTTCATTGGCATGAGCTTTGTGCTGATGTCCAGGAAGGGTCCCCACGACGCCGAGGCCCTCCTGGAGCAGAGACACGTTCCTGGACATGTCCCCTTTGAAACAAACATCTGCCCAGCTCTCCTGCCGCATCCCTGCTGCTTACGGCAAGAGTCACCCCGCTGGGGACTCAGAGCTGCAAGCCATCACGGCTAGCCCATTAAACAAGGTTAATTAACGCTACATGACAACGGAGCGCGTATGGGAATGTGCACAGGGACTCGCAGGCACGCCTGAATGTATTCATTAAGGGCAGCGCTGCAGGCACAGTGACAACGTGATTCATAACCATACGCCACAGAAAAACAAAGTCCTTCCAGTTTCTGTTATTGTGTTAATAAGTCAGACTGCAGAGAGAAATTAAATGACTGATTGGGTCCGTAAATTCCACAGGTACCTTCCATGGCCCTTGGAGCAAACCCAAGCTTTAATGCAGTCTGTCGCTTTGGAGCAGGATTTAATCACCGGGCACGGAAGGCAGAGTCACAGGTTTCCCACAAGCGTGTGATCTACGTGGAGGGAGCAGGAGATGGAGACACAGGAGGAGTCCTCCATGCGGGAGCAGGTGGTGGAAGGACCTCAAGCCTTGTCTCCTGTGGGTGCTGTACCAGATCACAGGAAACAAGATGCTGTTAATATTTCTGTCACACGCTGGAGGGATTTCCCCTCCCTGTGAAAAGCTGGAATGTTGCACTTTGCACCTCCATGTGGAAACAAAATCTTTGGGGCTTCTCGGGGCCGGGAACCCCACAGAGCAGGGAACGGTGGATGGAGACCCAGCGTCCTCCAGCGTGCAGTGGGCCAGCCAGCTCGCATGCGCTGGAGTGGAGCGGAGTCCCACTCCGAGCTAGCACAGACAGGGGAATTAATGAGTGTGAAATGAAGAAAAATCCCATTTAGCGGTGTCTTAAAATCAAGTGAATTTGTTCTTTGCAGAAAGCTGGCCTCTTTTTTCAATGCTCTTGTTTCAAGGCAGTGAGAAGAGACCTCTGTAATTCACATTAGCATTAACGGGAGCTAAGCATTTAAATCTCTGTCCCCGGAGCACTTAGGAGAGAATCCGTCCCCTCTTTGTGCTCTCTAATAGCTCTGTAACCCTCCTTCCCAGGCACGGCTTACAAAGGGATTTCTGTCACTCTTTGATTCTCCCTTGTCCCAGACTATGGGTGAGCAGAGTTGGGTGCAGAAGGCTGGTGCCTCAGTAGGGCTGAGCAGGCTCCAAGAAACGGAGAAAAGCACCATTTTAAACTCCACGTCATCTCTCAGATGGAGCTGGTCTGGTTCTCCTCCCGTATAACCCAGCTGCCAGTGATGGAGCTCCTCCAGGTTTACCTTGAGGTGAGGAAGGAGCTGAGCCTCTTATTGTAGGAGGCGCCAGGTCCCGCTCGGCATTGGATGCTGGATTTGCGGAGCCGGCTCTGTGTGACAGCTCCATCTGGCACACCGGGAAAAATCTGAAGTTAGCTAGCGTTGGCCACCAACAAGAGCAAGGAACAGTTGCTCTTGTTTCAAACCCCAACTCACTCGCAGGCTCTGACACTAGAGAAAGTACCTGGAGTACTCGGGAGAGATGCCAGTCTCCTTCTCCGGTCAATGGAGAGGAGGGCTCCTCTGCAAGCCAAAAACCAGTTGCTAGCCCAGGTCCCCTGGCCAGCTGGAAGTCCCCTTCCCCATGCCCCTGCCCACCCATGAGCTGTGCAGCTCTGTGCTGCCTGCCCCCAGCCTGCAAGGGCTGCACCCACATGCAGGAAAGCGAGCTTGTGCGTGATGGCGACAGGTCACAAATTCAAATGAGATCGAGCAAGGACATTTCTGCCCAAGGTCAGGCCAAATGTACACCCCAGTGCAGCATCTTCCGTACAACGGTGCTTTTCCAGCCTCCAACAGTTCACAGCTCAGGAACCCCATGAGGCTGGCATGGCTTTCACGTAGCCTGTGTAACCCCCCTTGGATTTCTCTTTCACAGAACCGTCCTGTCTCCTTGTGGACCAACATAAGCTTTTATCACCCACAAGGTCCTGTAGCAAGGAGTTCACAGCTTAAGGTTAGATTTATGGTTGGACTTGATGATCTCAAAGGTCTTTTCCAGCCTAAATGTATCTATGATTCTAAGTGCATGCCCTGTGAAAGCCACCTCCTCCGGGCTGCTGCAGACCATGCCTGCTTCAAAGGCCATTTGACCTGAGACTTCAGATGACTGCACCTCCTTACCAGCCACAGATGGGCTGTACCTAACTCCCTGTCACCCCAGGACACAAAACTCACCCCAAAAGAGCTCTCGGCATTACACTGAGAGCCCAGTAACTGCTCTGACATCCCAAGTGTTGCAACCAGCTCCTGTTTCTTCTCTCCTTCCAACCAAGTCATCTCGCAGCCAGTTCCTACGGCTGGAGCATCCATACGGAGGTAAAAGAAAAGAGGAATAAGGCATGGCAAGAAAAGATGCTGTTCCCAGCTGTTCTGCTTGTACCCTCGAAAGGATGAAGAGCTGTTACAGATGCCGGAGTTGAAGAAATGTGCTTCTTTATTTTAATTAAAGCATAGGACCTACAGCCTTTGAATCTTGAGGCAAGCTTACTGTACGTGATGCCTGACTAATTAAAATGGGATGTTTAATTAAAACTTGTATTCAGTCAGGAAGCTGATGGAGCTAAACTGCTGCTAATTGGCTTTCGGCTCCAGTCACGAGAGCCTGACTTTTGCATTCAACACTGCCTGAGAAGAG